TACATTATATTTAATTTATAACAAAAAAAATTACTTTACAATTTTAACAATTAATTGTTTAAATTAAGATAATATTAATATTAATTAATTGTTTAATAAAATATATAAAGAATAAAAAGGTAAAATAACGTTGAGATTTTAACGTTATATTTAATACGTTTATTAATTAACCATTTACAATTAACGTACTTTACGTTAAATATTGGAATATAAGTTATTTCGGCTTTAATATAAATTTCGATATTATTAAAAAACCAGTTACGCAATTATAGTAAAAACGTGAAACATTTAATTAAATTTTACCATTTTTAGTAAACGACTTTATTTAGTTAATAAAATAACAAATATATAATTAAGTATAAATAATCCCGTTTTTTTAAAACGGTTTAATAAATAACTCCGCCGGATATATACGGGAAAAAGTAACCGACGGTAGTTAAATAAAAGATATAATTAAACAAAAAATGTAATTAAATAAAAGATGTGGTTAAGCAAAAGATGTAATTAAATAAAAGATGTAGCTAAGTAAGGGATGTGGCTAAGCAAGGGATGTGGCTAAGCAGGGGATGTGGTTAAATAGGGGATGTGGCTAAGCAGGGGATGTGGTTAAGCAAGGGATGTGGCTAAGCAAAGGATGTGGTTAAGCAGGGGATGTGGCTAAGTAAGGGATGTGGCTGGGTCACGTAACATAACCAAGTAAGTGCTACAGGCAAGGCTAGTGATGTGGCACGTGACGTAGCCAAGAGGCTAGGGAGGAGGTTAGGGAGGAGGCTAGGAATGAGGTTAAAGATAGGGCTGGGAAGCCACGTAACATCAATTGTTAAAACAATAGGTGTGGTTAATGCATAACGTTGAAAAATAAGTAAAAAGGTAAAAAGATAAGAAATAATTAAATCGGGAAAAGCTTATATATATATTTAATTAAAATGTATAAATTAACGGTAGTTTTATTATTTAATTAGCTTTTATAATAGTTAAAATTTTATAATAAACTTTAAAATTTTTAATTAATTAAATATTATAATACACGTAAATATAACTTTATTATACGTTAAAACGATATTATACGTAACTCATTTAATTAATTAATTAATACTTTTTACGTCATTACGGTAATATTTTTAAACGCTTTTATTAATTAATCGATATTATATATACTTTTTTATAATATATATTTATTACTTTTATTATTTAATTAAATAATTTATAATAATAGTAACGCTACGATAAATCATTATAATAATATCTTTAAACGTTTTTATTAATTAATTAAAATCGCTTACACTTATTTTTAATATATACCTTTTATACTTATATTTAATTAAATGGTTTATTGTTATCGACAACCGTAATTTATCAAAACTTTCATACGTTTTTTAATACGTACTTAAATCGTTACAATTTAATTAATTCCTTTTTATTTTTAAAATGGCCGACATTACTGTAACCCATTTTTTTTTACATACACATATTTTCTTTTATTTTATCTTTTATTTAATCTTTTATCTAATCCTTTATTTAATTAATTTTATTATATAATAACTTATGCGTTAAATATATTACAACGTTAAAAAGTAATTTTTAATTAAAAAAATTTAATTAATAAATGTTTATTTTATTTTTTATTTAATTAATTTTATTATTTAATAACCTATATGTTTAAATTAAATAATTTGTATTTATAATATATATAAACAAGCTTTAATTAAAAAGATTTAATTAATGGATCTTTATTTTATCATTTATTTTATTAATTTTATTATATAATGACTTATATGTTTAAATTAAACTCTTTTTTAAAATACAATTTTAATAAAAAAACTTTTAAGTTAATTATATAACAAAGTTTTTTAATAATATTATAAATAATCAATTAATTATATAATAATTATTAATTTTATTATTAAATTTATCGATTAAATTTACACGTTTTTATTTTTAAAATAAATAAAAATTAACCGTAATTCGCGTTATAATACGCGTTATAATATATATTATAATAAACGATATAATATAATAAATAAAATTTAATATAACTATATAACGTTATATAAATATATAAAAAATAAAAAAAAACTTAAATAATAATTTTATTATTAAATTAAAAATAAAATAAAAAATATTTATATATATTTTTAATTATTTATAATATTAAATACTTTTATTAATAATTACATTTAACGTTTTAATTTAAAATATAAAAATATAAAACCGTATAAATATATAAAAAAGTTAAAAACATAAATTAAATAAATTATTAATTTTAAATTATTTTAATTTAAGTTATTTTATATATTATTATAATATTAAACAAAAGTTATGTTTTTTAAAAAGTATAATTTATTAGTTTAATTATTTAAATTTAAAAATAGATTTAAAATAATTAATAATAATATTATTTTTTTATAAAACTTATAATCGATTAATTTAAAAATAAAAATTTTAAATAACACGATTAAAATAAAAAACTATAAATAATAATAATTTATTTAAAAACAGTAATAATTAAAATTTAAATTTAATTATATAATTAAAAAAAATATTATTAAATGTTTTTTATAAATTAATTAAAAGGAATATTTAAAATAAAACTTTATAAAAATTTATATTAAAAAAAATTACGTAATATTATTTTATAATACTTTTATAATATACCATTAATTTAATATTATATAAATTTAACATATAAAAGCTTTTTAATATAATAATACTTTAAATTAAATCTTAAAAAATCTTTTAATACTGTTTTATAAATATAAACATACGGACCAAGTGTTAAATGGCGCTTGTGGCGCCAACGGGGGTTAGCGGGCGTAGCCCGCCGTTTCTCGAGGACTAGTTTAAGCTCGCTAAGATAAAAGAATAACTACCTAACCTATATAAAGCTTGAAAGTATATATTGAATTGTGGTATATGACTTTCTACCCACTTTCGTTTAGCGCGCGATCTTTTATTTCATTTTGGCACAGTACTCTATCCGGTCAACCGTAGCATCTATTGCTTTGCCCTGCATATACTACCCCGAGAAATGGCTGCTAAATCAGACCCCTTAACTGTGCAAAATCAAGCCCTGCAAACCCCGACTTATATAAATCCGAGCAGCTTAGCCAGGCCCAGTAATGGATAATATTTTAATGGGCAAAGCAGCCGCATAGAAGAGTGACTTTTGTCGTCGCATTGGCTTAGGTTCGAATTTGATCCCTTCCACGGCGAAATGATGCCGGGCTATGGGTGGTACGATGCTCCGTTAGCGTCACCAAATCAGGTAGGTTTGCACAGAAGAATATACGAACATACCACATTCGTCTCTAAACCTTTGAAAGGTTTCAGCATTCCGGACGACACCAGCTATAACAACTCTAAGCTTCGGGTTCTTATCAATGAGCTGATGCAATGTCGATACTAGCGCCGATATTGCTATCTTGTCATATGTCTGTACGATATATTAGTATTCTACGTCTGTATTGGATGGAAATCAAATGTGATTCTTACAATATCGGCACCGATTACGATGTCATATGGTCTGGTGTCACAGTCGTCTTCGATCCACGCCTCCCAAGGGCTACGGCCCCATGTCAAAATTCCTGTTCGGACTTTCTCTTGATCATCAAGGCCATTCAATGCGAAATTTCCCTTCATAGCTTCAACGACTGCTTCATCGCCATCTGTAGTAGTGACGTGGTTTGCATATAAATGCTTGGCTAAGAGGATACTGAGGAACCCGGTGCCAGCACCCAGCTCTAAGATATTCTTCCCACGGACAATACGCGACCCAGTATCAGTCAAGAAGTACGAGCCCAGATGAAGAGATCCTTCCCAAGTCCGGAAACCGGTTATTTGTGAACCTGACACCAAGTGCCGCCGTTCGAGTAGTGTAATTGTAGGTTCTGGTCGGTTGTCAAGATTATCGTCCGGTTTATATTTCTCCGGTAGGCAGGTGAATGTTACGTATGCCTCTTCCTGAGCTTTCTGGAATTCCGACGATACTCCTTTAGTCACAAGGGACTCGAAACACGCCGTAAGCTCTTCAGAGACTTCCTAGTGTAAAGTTAAGCCCGTGTGCAATGGATTTCGGGGAAACTAAATAATTAGGACAAGAAACTTACACTTTGCTCTAAATCCACGATTGCTTTCTCAACCGTTGTGATAAGTTGCTTCAAGACCCGCATTCGGTAGTTCTCAGGTGGCAGCCTCGAATTTCTGCTTTGGTCGAATAGGTGTTTGTACAGCCATTTTTGTACATCTTCGTTCTTAAGGAACTTGGCTGGCGGCCAAGCGAGAAAGTCGGGCTCAAACAGTTGCATATACTGCCGACGCAGCAAAAGTAGCTGAGGGTCCGCCTCGCACCCCGACATTCTAAGAGTTTTGTAACTGTTGGTGGTGGTATGGTCTATTTACGAAGTTAGCAACCCGCATGCGCCTAAGTCTTAATTGGATGCCCAGGATGCTCAGGATCAATGTAATATCGAAACCAATGTGGAGCTATGTTTGGTATAACAAGTCTTATTTTAATCGCAGTCCTTGGCGCATATCGAAAGTTGTGCCCCTTTTCTTTGATACTTGCGTGTAGATGCATAAATCAAGTATTGCTTGATGATAGCGAAACGTAATCACAAGGCTTTTGATAGTAATTGTACGCAGATATTTGTAAGAAGGCAGAATTGATAGAAAATAATATATCAAGCTACTCCGCCCAGAAAGGCTTCATGGCGTATGAAAATTCTACTCACTTGTGAAGAATCTATAAATGTCAGAAATGAAGTTGGTTCTGATATCTAAAAGAGTATGCATGTAAAAGCATATTAGATGTATGAGCGTGACTTAACACAGCATTATCTTTCCTATACGCCTGCATAGACCAAGATATAAGACACTCACGATACACTTCTCTAATACCACCCAGATCCTAATTCCAAACGTTTATTCAATTAAATAAAGAAAATCTTTCATTATTCCCACTTAACTATGGCTAGCTCCTTCGACATTGCCGATGTTAACAATTTTGATTCGTCTAGTGGTTAAGATACCTGCTTGTCATTCTGTTAATAGTCTGTTATGATAAAATACGCAGGTGGCCGGGGTTCAATTCCCCGATCGAGACATGATTAATATTTTGCTTAGCTCCCCTTTTTTTCGTCTTTGTTTCTTAAGTCGCATCATTTGGTACCGACAGCCATATTGCCCTCTGTATAGATATATTACGCCCCAGATGAAGCTTTAAACAGGGTGTAGATAATATTTTAAGGGGTACTTAGCTAGTCTATAAGTTCGTACTTATCCTACGATATGGAATTTCTCTTTCTATAACCTCTAATAACAAGATAGAGAACTTTATATAAGTCCATTCCTAGAAAATCTTTATCGCGTTGAGTACGAGATAACATTAACATCAGTTATTATTTATCTTTTATAGTTAGTCACATATCTCGCTAGTAGTATGGATTTGGTTCTCATGGTTGGCACACCCCCTTGATAGTCAGTGTCAATGATTAATTCTCATAGGTAGGTTGACCTTCATAAATGTTCCATCCGGGCATGGACATGGGTTGATATGTCGCATTGGGTAACCAATTTCGTGCTTAGTTCTCCAATGGGTCGCTCTCCTCCATTTCGGAGAATCCAGGCTTTTCAGCCTGCATGCGGTGTCACCACTCATGCCACCGGCAATGGCCAGCTTCAATAGCTGCGTAGAGGATTTGGTCGGAACAAGGCACTCCGAGTACGTCAAGAGGATCATATGTTGTAGGAGCTTACTTAGGGTGCCTCGGAGAGTCGTCAGCTTCTCCTAGCTCGTGTTTGACTTATAATTCTCATCGACCGAACTAGAGTAGACCTGAAAACTGCACCACTGTAAGTTGCACTATTGCAGCGTCGATAACTTTGAAAATATATTGCGTTAGCTACAAACCACCATGTCCCCGTTATCTCGACCTTCGAGTATTGCGGCATTAGCTGTCGCCACAGTCGCCCTATTAGCACCGGCCATCTATCAAATAACATCCCTATCTACCATTTCGATATATCCATATCTAGCCTCACTCTCCGCATTAGTTCCTAAGATGTTTAGCCAAAACATTAAACCAGTTGCATCATCCTTCAGTTGTCCTCCCCATCATTACACGACCGAGATCATCTCTCTTGATCCCCTTATTATCTATATTGATTCTTTCCTCGCTCCTACTGAGACAAAGGCTCTGCTCGAAGCCGGGCACTCCGTGTTCGCTCCCTCTCGGGTCTATAAAAGCGGGCATAATCAAGATACACAAGATCGGACCTCATTGTCTGCTGGTCTACCACGTGACAATCCTGCAGTACAATGTGTGCTATCCCGTGCCGAAGGTTTTCTCGGCACGATGCTAGACCCTTCGCGAGATGACATTGGCCCGCCACAACTCGTACGCTACACTGCAGGACAGCGCTTCAACAGACACCACGACTGGTACGATCGGCCGCAGCCAACACGGCGGGGTATGCTAGGGCGGGGAAAGAGCTGGAATCGCATCGCCAGTTTCTTTGCTATCCTAGAGGATCAATGCACGGGTGGTGAGACGTGGTTTCCCTTTGTGAATACGACAGCATTATCAAAGGCAGATGAGAAGGGCCAGAGGCTATGGAGGAACCATGAGGATGGTGGTTTAGCCTTCAAACCGGTAGCTGGGAACGCATTGTTCTGGGTTAATTTGCTTCAAAATGGCACAGGAGATGAGCGAACCGTCCACGCAGGCCTCCCAGTGGTAGAGGGCTTGAAGACCGCAATGAATATCTGGCCTAGGAAATTTTATGCGTGAGTCTTGAGCTGGTATTGTTGATGGTATGATCGGTTTTGTACTATAAGTAGCAGCGGTTTGGATATTTCCTGGATAATCCGTAATACTACCTCACTGGATATTTTGATACAAGACGTCAAAGGTGTGGAAATACTGTTCCTCTCCAACGTTCTCCCACAACGTCAGGAAATTTCTCGGAGGTTATCTTTGCAGAAGTAGTTGATACTGATCAACTTTGGAAGATAGTAGGCAACAATTATGGAGTAGATATCGTAGTCTGGTCGTCTTCTTTATGAGGTACTCATACCTACACTCCTTCATCTGTACATGATAAATCCTCAAAGCAATTTTTTAACAGTGACCGTTTTCAAAGTGTAGTGGTTAGGTCGTCAGCTATGCCTAACCGGTTGCTTACGATCGACAACAGCTTACGTGGTGGGTACGTTACGCAGCTTGAGAGGTAGTATTCGCCCCCGCAACGTTAACTACCTACTTAGATATTATATCTACTGGTCATTAAGGGGTGACGTAGGCAGGTATATATCATATGATACTGTAAAATGCAGGCGGTGTGTTAGGAATTCAAGGGCTAGAAATGGTAGATCCCATCATACCCTCATCCTCAAATCGAAGACTATTATGATGGCTTCAAGATCACGTATCCGAGAAGAACAAATAACGTAGGCACCTCCTAGCTTGGCATGTGAAAGCGGGTCATTGAAAAGAATTAAAGTAATCCTTAATAGAAGTAATCGAGACTGGCCTTAAGGCTATACCCATATTATAGTACCTATATAGGTAGGTATGTAGCCCTGCTGTTATACCTACGTTAAAGCAGCTAGTCGAACATACCTATATGCACCGAGGGTAGAATAGCAACACCATAGACTCCAAACCGACTAGTGAATGATTACAAAGTAAAGCTGACACGATGGGCATGTTAGCCATTGGAAATAACACACTATTTAGCAGCAACCGCACCAAAGGTAGCGCCTAACATGCTAGCCGACCACTAACTACCGCCTATACATCTACCCCAACCACGATGAAGCACTACCCTCGCAAGAGGACTGGCCGTGTTCCGGAATTGGATGCTAGTAGTCACGCTTCTTCATTCGCCCCCGTACTCCAAAGGGCTCATCCAACCCTATCGTGCGAATTCGTCAATAGGATATCACGGCGGAGGTGTAGGTCTGCTGCAAGGCCCGCATTTCCTATAAACAATCTGCACATTTGCTCCGTCGGTATATACCGCGTGGTAATCATCCAGGCAGGGGGCGATGCATTTGTCCTGAATTACGCGGTTGCAGTTGGAGCAGAGCGTCCGTTCCCAGTCGCACATGATGATGTCTAGCGAAGGGATTTAGCATAGGTTTTAAGTATAAATAATAGTAAGTATTCGCACATACCTGAGGGGATATTTATACTATAATTTAGATGCAGCCAAAGAGTGGTTTGGGAGCCTCCAAGATTTGTTATAATAGACTACCCTTCGGCTTTATACACCCGAACAAACAACTGCTCCTTATAGATGATATCACATATCGTTCTCATAACCACTAGACCGCCATCGCGTCACCTTAGGTAGTCAGATTCGAGTGTAGAGGTTACATGGAAATTTCTCCAAGCTATTAGAAGGCACTCGTATCTCACATCTAATAGGGCATGTGCTGGAGGGCATGGGAGATAGGAGAGTAGCCGATTAGGATAGGGAGATGGGATGGGGAATCTTTAGTGCTTTAGACGGCACTAGAAAGCACGAATACTTTTGGTTACATGTTGCGTGCGGCTGTCTCTATTCCCCCGATTTACATAGCGTAGCATTCTCGCAGATAATGATGAGGATCTATAGTCAAGTGTAGTTGTTGCCAAGAGTCGCTAAGGGCGGAACTTAGACATCGCTTATAGATTCTAACGGGTATCATAGGTACTAGGTTCATGCTTTGTAGAGATTCATTCCTGTATGACTAATAAACGTAGCAATAACGTATGGCGATCCACGAAACTAGAAGCTTGGGTCCGCGAATAAAAACAACGTGCCAGAGGAAGGCCTACGATACGCGACCCTGCCCCGGGCATCAGCACGAAAACAGCCCACTTAGCTAAATTATCTAATTGCCCACATTAGATACCTACCTTAGGTACCTATCTAATAGACGCCTACCATAGGATAGGATAAGGCTATTGGTAGAAAACTAGCACACGCGGTTCCAAAGTTGCCCCATAACGGCAGTTCAGAAAACGAAAGAGGTTAGAAAATCAATAGAAACTAAAACCCCCAACTCTTATACGACTAGTAGGAGGACTTTGGTCCATCATCATGTCAAATTCCAGAAGTGTACATATCTTCCCGCACTATTAGTAGTTCATCGTTACTCTATGCAGGCTGTGATGGAACCTTAGCGATACTACCTTATTCTACCACCCCCACGGTTTCACCGTCCGTAGAAGGTTGGGCACCAGCATATGTGATTTCTCGCTTCTAATTTTGCACAAACACATTCTGATTCATATCTTAGTGTAATCGTCCTACTCATACAACTTAGGCTTGGACGATAACCTGAACATCTGCCACCGTTGCCCGTGCCATCTTCTTAAGAAGTGTCCGTTCATCGGCTTCACGATACCTCTCCCAGCCGTCAAGCCCTTCCCTTGCCTGGATACTCAACGTCTCGTAACCCTGCTTGATTACCTCCGCCACCTCTGTGCTAGTAAGGTTCCTTTTGGAACTATCTGAGTCCAACATGGTCTTGTAGTGCATACTCACGCTAATAAGCGTACCTATTGAATTCGATGGTCGGCTTGATAGGCGGTAGGTGTCGCGGAATTTTACTAGGATTTCGCCGCTCTCAACAACTTTGTAGAATAGGTCGTCATAGGCAGCAGGCGTAGGAAGAAAGGCTTCACCTGCGGAGAGAGAAAGAGCCAATAGGTTTACGACTAGGTCCAAGAGGGACTCGTAATGCGAAAGCCCCTTAAGATCAGAGGCATAGGTAGTAAGAAAACGGATAAGGGACAGCAGAGAGCGAAACAGCTCAGACCAGTGGTATTGCAATCTTGTCCGTGACCGGGAGAGGTATGAGATGATACGCAGCATGATACCAACGCACAAAGTATACAGGCTGACATCGAGTCTGCGGCGCAGATTATGGTTGATGCCATCTATCATGGTGTCCAGAACGCTCGTCGCTAAGATGCGCTCTCCCCGGACAGCTGGCAGGAACGGTTGCCGTTGACGGCAGAGCCTAATGGCGACTTTACTCTCATCGCTACATATTCGCTTACATAGTAGCTGGTCTTCAATAAGAAGCCGGAAAACCATGAGACTGAGATG